TTGGTAATTATTTTTGTAGAATTAAAGTAAACTGGTTTGGTTTGGGTATATTGAAACTGTTACAGACATTTTTCAATTTCTTTTAGGTGCCTAAGTGCAATGTTTTTTTTCTTCTTATTTAACCTTACAAATTTACCCACAAAATATCTCAACTTAAAATCCCATCACTCACCTGTTTTCATCAGGATGGACAAAAATGTCGGTTAACTAGCAGTAAAACAAAAAGAAAATATTTGAGCAAGCTACAAGGACGTGGCTTAAATGGTAAATGGAGGTGTATAAAAAAAAAAAAGTATTGTAGCCTAACTGCATTGTATTAAAATTATATAATTTTCTTTTTTTAAAGTCAACAGTTGGAGGCATATAAATGTAAACAGTACAATAAATATTTGATACAATTGTATGGCTCAGTTAAAGAAATAGTTGAACTTTCAAAGATAAAAACCAGATCCCATGAAAAATCATTGCTATATATCTTATAATTTAAAGAGAAAATCCAAATATATCACTAAAATCTTTTAGTTAAGGAAGAAAGTGAAAGAAGATAAATAGGTGATTATTATTGTTTGTTGATAAAATGTACCAATTTTTTTTGTTTTTATTACTTGAGACGTACTCTATCTCTTTCCTCCAGAAATTCAGTTTTATTTATCCTACACTTCCATCAGGAGGAGGACATTGCGTTTAGCAGTAGTGGTTAGTCTAATATTCGTATCGGTGACTTCACCTCAACTGGTGGCCTATCTACTGCCAACTCCAAATAAAGTTTTTCTTTGTAAATGTAAGAGTAAATAGAGTTGTCATTTTCAGGCTCTTGTGATCACCAGCAATAACCCCATGTTAATTGGGGGGGGGAGTCGACAACTGAGGCCATTTCATGGGGGAGAGAGAGAGAGACTAGTAAAAATATGTGGAATAGGTCAAGGCAGAGAAAAAGATAAGGTGGCCTTCTCATTTTATTGCTTGATCTGATAGTTGAAGTTTATTTACACACAGGTAAATTTTCACGTTTGCAATCAGTCTCTCTAATCCCAACTAAATTTTGTATAGCTTCGATTCATTCTGGTTTGTGAAAATGGTTTTTTGTTACTTAAAAAGAAAATAAAAAAATTCTTATATTTGTAAATTTACACCACAAAAAAACAAAAAAACTTGTTTTTAATATCAAACAGAACTAAACTTATATTTGCTCAGAGAAAGAACACTAATTGCAGATTTTTAGTCTTAAACGGGAAATTGCACTATCAAAAACCTAGTTTATTTTTTATTTTTTTATCTTGGATAATAGACTTTTTGAATCATCATTACATTACCGAATCTGTAATGTTTAAGTCAGTAAAGGTCTTTAATTACTATAATTTTTTGAAGGTTCAGATTCTGCAAAAATATTGAAGGTTCAAGCTGTACTGTATACAGCTTGAACCTTCAACTTGTATACTGTATACAAGACTTTATTTAGCCCTTAACCCCCCCCCAAAAAAACAACAATCTCATGCATTTATCAGTAATACATTTTCTAGTTAAAAACCGTCTAGTTGCTGTCGTCAAAGTTTGTGCAAACTTCATAATATAGGACCTTAGAAGCAAAGAAAACAATGCATTTCAATTTATGAACTTATACCGTATAAATGTTTGTTTGAAACAAGAAATGGCCGATTCTGTTTTAACAAGTGCAGAGAGAAAACAGGAAAAGTGTCTGGTATACTAAACTATAAATATATATATATATATATATATATATATATGACAACATTGCCAACTAACTTGCCATCTCAGTGATATCCCCTAACCCGTCAAGATCCCCTATATGCAAATATGGATAACAAATAATAAACAAACATCCTAAGTGACTAACAGTAGGTCCGGGTTTAGACAGTAAGCCCATCTAGAAAATTTTACGCGCTGTACAAACACAATTTTTCCCCCCCATCATTTGAACTCCAATCAAAACAGTAGAGAACAAGAACAGTAACACTAACAGGAATTAAGACAATATAACGACTGACATTCATTACAAAACATTTTTATTTGAGTTGAATATTTGAGGATCAAGTTGACTGGAAAGAAAGAAAGCCGGAAGAGAGTTCCACAAGCGAGAAGTGCGAGAGAAGAAACGGTTTTCATAGTACTTCTAGCAATTTCAACTGTAATAAAATCGATCCTCATAATAGTGGTCCTTATGCCAGGCTAACAATGATTAGGACACCTGACGTAATGGGAGGGGAGGGGGTGTTAGTTTGAAACCGAGGACGAGAATACACACACAAAAAAAATGTAAAAAAAAATAAATATATATAATAATATTGCAAAAGAAATAGTTATTTTTTCATTCTTTTCACAATGAAGACTTTCTTTTTGTCACCTCTTCTTAATAACTCAGACACGGAAATTTAATTAGACTGATTCTTCACTCATCACAGGTAAAAATGAGTTACTTCCACCGACAGTACAGCCCCTCACCCCCACTTTTTTTTTTTTTTTTAAAGTTTTTAACTATCATTCAGTGTGTCTCAAAGGAGGACAACTATTTTTTTTTTTTTTTTTTTTTTTTACACCCCACTCACTCCACCTCCGGCGGGATGAAAAAAAAAAAAAAAACAAAAACAAAAAACAATTCATCACACCATTATTAAGGGAATATAATTTCTAAACAATAATCAAGTTAACAACACAAGCCAAGTAAATCAATATTTCTCCCTGTAGAAGGTTTTTTTTTATCTGATCTCATTCTAGCTAATCATGCTTTGGGGGGGGGTAAGCCCTCGGGTAACACAAAATAATAATAATAATGATGATGATGAAAAACTACTACTCACTTCTGAGAGAAAGATTCACCAGTCCCTTCACAAGTGCGACCAATATCACGTGATCTAACAGCCACCCCCTCCCACCAAACCTGACCCTACCCACTTCCAGCAAGCAGAATTTTAGCAGCTATTATGCTTTAATTAACAATATTAATTACATGTCATTATGATAATCTTTACACCTCAAATCTGACACCGAGAGAGAGAGGGGGGGTTGCCTGGTTAATTATTACCGCCATTATTTTATTCAATTGTGTAGTCCGCATCTTCTGCTTTTATAAAATTTTGGCCGTCATATTTTTATTGAAGACGGACAAGAGAGGAAAACGAATCAGGGGAAAAATTATATTAAAATGGAGGTAAAATTGTTTTATTGGCTCTTATATTTTCCGTGGGACGAGAACTGAATGACTCAGTTTTTTTTTTTTTTTGTTTTTTTTAAGGAAGTAGAGACCGTCCATTCTCTCTAGTTAATCGTAAGTGGATTATTTTAAAATATTTAATCTAAACGTTTTTGTAAATAAATCACCTATTGCAACCTCTTGTTCGCATACACACAAATAAATATTTTTTATATATATATATATATATATATATATATATATATATATATATGGGACTGTGAGTGCGCGCCAGTGGACAAGATCATGGCTACCACTTTCGCTTGACACAAAAATCTAACAGCTTTCAAATTTGGTATTGTGAATTGTTTATATTACATCAGAAAGATAGTTTTTAAAATTTATCTAAAACTCAAATTATCTAAGTCGATACTATTAGTCTGCATAAAAGTTATTTTCAACACAATAGACAATTACAACTGGAGAGAAAAAAAAAAGAAAAAAGGACATTGGAAAGGTTAATTTTTATTTTCATTTAGAGAAAAAATTCACTCTAAACTGTTTTTAGTTTTATCTATTAAATATGGAAATCATAAAATATTTATTCTTTTAAGTAGAAGTAATAATTAAATGCTATTATTTTTGCCTGAATGATATTTTCTCCATTGAAACAAATTTCTTTCTCCAATTTAAAATTAAGGGAAATCTGGAGGGACGGGTCCAGAAAAAAAATAACATTAAAAATATAGGTAAATTAAATTTTAAAATGTACGATTTAAAAGTAGATAAATTAATTAAAAACTAATATTAAAAAATTAAATTATGAATAATTCTATAAAGTCTTGAAAATATTTATTATAAGATGAAGGATGTAAATACAAAAAAATACAAAAAAAAAAACTAGAAACTAAATTTAGTATTTTAAAATCTACAAAATTAGTAAATTAAATAAAATTAAGCTTTTAAAATTAAATTATTATATAAAATTTTAATGCATTTATAAAAATTAAGTTTCTTTCTTATAAATTTTTTAGGCAATAAATGCAAATTAAACAAGGAATATAAAAAAAAAAATAATCTCCCAAATTTGTCAAAAAAAAAAAATAAATAAATAAAAAAAAATAAAAGAAAGGAACCGTGAAAAAGTTAATTTTGCATATATCTACATTTACTTAAAATTAATATCTAATTATGAATAATTATTAGGAAATGTGAAAAAAAAAAAATAGGAAAATATTTTAAAAGCCAAAATTACATTTAAAAATCTCGGTTTTGTCCTGGTTATAAAGTGGGGGACTGGTTTATTGTTTTTATTCTAGAAAATAAATCTAAGTTTATGATTTGAAATGGAGATAAAAACGTTTTTAGAGAATTTAAGTGGCTTAAAAAACCTAAGCAAATATATTTTCTTGATAAATAACAGTAAATAGGATATTTTAAGCTTATTTTTAGTCGAGGGTTTGATAAGAAGTGAATAATATTCATTTTTATGGCAGCCATAAGACTTATATTTTCATAACACCGCGGTTGGCTTCATCGGTTCAGATTAGAAAGTCTTTTTTTGTTTTGTTTTTTTTAAATCGAAGGGAAAAAGGTGAGTTTTAAGAGCTTTTTTTATGCAGATAGGAACAGAAAATCTTTTGAAAAAAACTTAGAATCAATATTTAAACTGGGAAATAATAAAAAAAAGAAGGTCAATATATGACACGAGGATCAGTGGCGGGGGGGAATACTTTGGCTTCTCTATGATGACGACTCGTTCGTTTGAGGCGACATTAGAATTTACTAAGAAATACATTTTCGGCACGTTTTTTTGCGAAATAAAGAACAAAAAACAAACCTGAGAACTCACCGAAAAAGCAGACGGCCCCCCTCAAACCACAGACCGCACTGAATTAGAAATAAAAGCCTGAAAAATGTCCAAGTGTCCGCTCCGGAATAAAGATAGTTCCAAACAGAAAACTTCCAAGATGGCGTGTTACTGTTGTTGTTGTTGTTAACGGAGGAAAAAAAAAAAAAACTTTCGTTTTCTCTTCACTGAACTTTCTGCCTTTCTTTTTTGCCCTCTCTCTCTTTACTCGACTCCTCCCTTTACTCATTAACTGTATCCCCTCTCTCTTTGCATCTACTCACCAACTGTCCCCCTCCCTCTTTTGTTACATTTACTCAACTCGCACTTTCTCTCAAATTCATTCTCATTTCCTCCCATCGCCACAACACTGACTTAACCTACTATATTCGTGCGTCGGTAAGAAATTAGTTCGTGCAGTTAAACTATTCTATGCCTAAAACCATTTCAAAATATACATGTTCTGCTTTGATTTTAAAAATACGACTTTATTTTAAAGGTATTTATTTCCTTCTGGGCGGTTTTGCAATAACAGAAACAGAATAAGTGCCAAACAATCAAGGATCTGTCTTAACACTAGGGATCTATCCCAAAACTCCTACGCGTCCAAACCAACGATGCTATTAGGTCAGCGGATCGGAATGTCATATTTCTTTATTTCTGTAACTAATAAGTACATTTTTATTTGCACTGATCGATTTTTCATTTCGGAAATAAAAACTATACTTAATTTTTTGTAATAAAAATTAAAACACAGTCAAATTTAAATTCCGAGGTTTTTATTTCTTGTGACGTCACAAGTGAACTGAGAATTCTGGGTATTTTTATTTACTCCTATTAATTATTATTATTATTATTAATAATGAGATAATGAACAGGTTCTTGAAGAGTAATTGGGTGTAGTTTTAACTCTCCGATAATTTCATTTTAATTTCTGAAATTTACCATTATTCGAAGAGGATAGGCTTTAAAAATCTAACAGTTTTTATTAGTGCTCTTTATATTTGAAGAGCATAGGCTTCTAACAAAAAAAAAATCTTATCCCAATCTTAATTATATTGGAATGGCAAGAAAAGTTTTTAACCTTAAATTGACTGATATTTTATTTTTACTAATTTTAAAGTAGGGATAATTAATTGTAATATTTCTATACGCATTCTGATTTAAAACTCAGACATTTTTATTTTATTTTTTAACATTTTTAAACGCTTTATAATCAGTAATTTATAGAAAAAATTTTTTTCTCTTGACATAGTTTCTTTAAAAAAGAAAAAAATTCGTAAATATTGTCAGCTTTTATTTAAAAAAAATAAATAAAAAGGCTGTCTATGTTGTTCATCGAGAAAGTTACTACTACTAGTCGTCAAACCTGACGTATCATTCCCAGCCTTAAACAGGAACTCGACCCAAGCGGAAAGATAATTCTCAACCCAGCCGATTTAGAACTAATTTTAAATTGAGAATTTTTTCTTTCTTATAATTAAGAAAATTAAGTAAGACTAAGAAAAACTTGAAAAACCTAGAGTTCTCGTTTACTTAAAAAATCACACTGAAAAGGAGGGAACAATTAAAAAAAAAAAATTAAAAATCGAATATGTGTTGTTTTCTTTCCTGTTATAATAACAACTTTTAAATTCAACACGCGAACCAGCTTAAAATGTGTTGAAACTGGCAATGGAAGATAAATATATTTCTTTGCTGGCTAAATCCATAAATAAATTAATATTTACTTACGCTCAAAAAAAAAAAAAAAGTAGTGAATAACAAACAAATGAATTCTGTAGAAAGAATTCTCAAGTAAATAAATCGAATAAAGTAGATTTTATTATCCGCGCACCCACGTCGCAACAAAATGTGACTCAAGGTCGGAGTTTAATGTGGGATTTCTGAAAAGTGAAAAGCCTCACAAGAATTACTCAAAACTCCTCGGCATTCCCCCTTTTGGAATAAGAAAGCTTTTAGCTGGGATATATTTTTATTTTTCATTTGATAAAAAATCAACAATAAGGGTATTTTCTTGTTTATTTTTGTCGGCACTAAATAGACTTGTCCACTTATTTGGAAATGGAAAAAATAATTTATTTTTTTGAAATAATTTTGAGGATTAGCATTTCCTTAGGGTGCGACACCTGTCAGAATCGAAAACTTTCGTCTATCATTTTAGGCGGTGGGGGTCCTGTTTATGCACAAGTGTCAAATCGATGTCATTTTACAGAGTTATTGAACTTGGATATTAAATTTACAAATGTCAAGTTTGAAACTGTGCTGCTTAATCTTGGCATTTAAAAATAAATTTTTCTGATTTTTCTTTTAAAAACTTCTTTTAATTAAACCTTTTTTTAAACTATCTTTTCGATCAAGGGTGTTTTTTCGGAAGCATATGCAGAAACATTTGAGGTTATTATAAATAAATAAAGAATAACCGACAAATGGATACCTATTTTTTATTCATTTTATTGTCATTTTTTGTTCTTTAATTAAAACTAAAAGTGTATATATCCGCTTGTTCCGTGTTTATTTAAAAAAACAAACAAACAAAACATAAAAATAACAAAACAAAGGCCTCAACTAGGTCCAATAACTCTGTAAAAGCCAGGGATCGATTTGACATTGTGAATATAATCACTATGGGCAATCGAGGCGGTGTAGTGGTTAGCAAGCTTCTTTCGCTAGAACAATTACGACTGAGTAGTGAGTCTGATCCTTACTGGGTGCCTCCTACTTCCGATCTTGTGCCACATCTAAGCTACGCTAGGGAAATCGCTATATAATCACTAAACTAAAACAAGACCTTTTTCTAAATCGATAAAAAAAAATCAATAGTTTTCGATTTTATTGCAGTCTAAAAAAGAATGCTAATGAGTTAATGACGTAAAGAACAATTATTTCCCAGAGTTTTCCTCCTATTTTTTTATGAGTGCAGTCTTAACTAGTCTAATTAGTGCCTTTTTAAGTTTTTTCTTTTAACCATTTTTAAGTAGTAAGACTAAAAAGAGCAGGTGTTCGTCTGCATTTTCAGCTTTATCTTGAAATTCAATAAGGAGAAGATTAAGAAATTTTAACACTAGGGTAAGTTTTTTTTCTTTATTTCTTTTAATTCTGCTTCTTAGTATTTCTTGTGTTGGTTCGATTACACTTTAGCAACCATTTATTTCTAGTCATGGGATTCTTCTGGTTTCAAGCACCCCCCCCGCAAATTTAGTATTATTATTACTACTGGAAGCACAGTGTTCTGAAAAAAAAGTGCTGTTGTTTGCATTGTATTAATTAATGTTTCTATTGCTATATTTTCTTCAGATAAATATTTTTTTGCTATTTTAATTATTTCATCATAAAAAAATGTTACTTTGTATTTGTCAAAGATGCATTTATTTAAAAATCGTTTGAGGAGATGCTGAAAAATTCTCATCTTGACCAAGAAGAGATTCTTCACAACAACAACAAAATTGGTCAGATTTTTTTTTTTTTTGAGGGGGGCGGGTGAGGGTTGAAGAAAGTGGATCGAGCCGAGAACTTTTCAGCACCCCTTGTACATTTATGTTTAAATATAGTTTAAATTTGAAAACAATATAATAAGCAGATACAAATTAATATAGAGTTTTAAAATATTTAACACTTTATAAATCATTCTAATTAAAATTTTAAATAAATGAAAACAATTCTTGTAAAAATGTATTATTTATCAAAAACACCTTTTTCTTAAGACAATAGTGTCCATTAGTCCATATATTGTATTCATATAAGCAGTTAAAAGCTTTTGTAATTAAATAATGTCTTACTTTTATTTAGATACCTCCACTGATTTTTTTTTTTTTTTAAGCATTTCACCCCAAGTAAGGCGGGAAGCCACTAGCATGCAAGGGGTTACAGAGGATTTGGAGTGAGAGCAGTTAGGAGTGATAGAGGAAAGGACGAGGAGAAGGATAGTGGATAGATCAAGGCAACTGGGGATGTCGATTGACATTACATTTGAATAGTTGGAGATTATAGCTATCAGGGAAACAGGAAATGGGGAGAGAGTTCCACAGGCGAGAGGTATGAAGCTATTGAAGTAGAAGAGGTGGCTACATTTAACAGTTTCAACAGTGAAAGGGTGAGAGTGGGATGACAATCTCATAGAACGCTTGAATTCATGAAGTCTGATTAACTAAAAAATAAACATAACATGATAAAAAATGCCCCAAACTTAATAAAAACTTTAAAAAACATTTTGATCATCAAAATCTTTGTTATTATTATTATTAAGAGGAACGACCAAAGAACTTTTGGATTATTAAATGTGGCGGGATATTGTTTGTTGTTCATCTTTCTACAGGAACTTTTATTTTTGTAATGACCAAACTAAAAAGAAAAACAAAAACAATGCAGCCTAATTCCAAAATTCTGTCATAACATTGTAGGTGCAATTTTCACTGAGTGGGTAGATGGTGCTTGAGTTATTAAGGTCCATAGTTTTATCTTTTTGAGACAAAGTTTCAGATCAAAGTGTAAGGCTGGTGTTTTTTTTTTTTTTTAAAAACATGTAAGAAAAAGAAAAAACTAATTCATGGATTTGGATATAAAAGAAAATCCCAAAATGGCATAAAAATTCACTTTAATTTAGTCAGTTGTGCTTAGTTTAATTTTTAAGGTATATAAATGAAGGTATTAAAAAAAAAAGCAAACATTAATACGATAATGAAGATCACAAAGCACTGTCTGGGGCACCCAATTAGTCTCCCCCCCTCACCAGGTTGTGAGGTTTGTGGGTAGTATGCGCAGGCCCTGGATCCAACCAAATGCCTAACATTACCTTTCTTCCATGGAGCTCAGATTTTGGGTTAGGTTGTGGAGATTTCTCTTTATCAGTTAACTGCCTTTTATGTTCAACATTGTTGTATGCAATCCACTTTTCAGCGGCTGTTATGATATATTTAAGGAATAGTTAGGATGATATGTTTGTCATTACAACTGGTTTGCAAAGATGGAAATTACTTATGACTTGACCTAATATTTAAAATAATCATCTCATATAAATTCAAATATTTGATTTTTTTTTTTTACGGATAATAACAAGTATTTTAATAATGTTTGTAAGAGATCATGTTTGTGTGATACAAAAGTGACCGAATAAAAAGTAGAAAAAAAAAAAGAATAAAAAGAAGGAAAATAAAATACGGCCTTAAGTTATTCCCTTAAATTCCCTCTTTAATTCTGATTTAACTTGGTTTTCCTTTCACTTTATAAACAATTCTGTAAAGTACTCTTTCGGCATCACTATCAGTTGTTGTCTTTTCAATGAGAATTTTCATTTTGGGAAAAGTCATAAATTGCAGAAAACCAAAATTTGGAGTGTAATGGAAGCGGGTATGGAGGTTGAC